GTACTTCTGTGTTCTGCAGTTATTAACTGATGGAAAACAAGCCTTCTGATTTGATGAGCATACAAGCCTTTTCTGCCAAACAGCCTGTTTCTGTTGTGTTTGAAACGATGAGTCAAAAAATCTAGCAACGATGGTCGATAGCCTGTTATAATGAAAAGTCTCTGCAGTTGTTTCTGGTAATGATGTTACGTTTATACCTCAGACTATTTAATAATTCATTCCGTAGAGCAGCGGTGAGCTTTCATTAGGTGATATGAAGCGGTTTCATCGGTGTGATAGGATTTGCTGAGTATCAGCAAGTTCCCACTGGTGTCCATGTAGTGAAAGTGTAAGATTTAACGGTGTCTACTGGGGTCTCGCTCATTAGAGACCTGTTTTCCCCCTAGGGGTACCAGCACGTGGGTATTTTGTTCTTTTGTGGCTGTGAAGATGCAGATATCTCAACACAGCAGAGGCATTTCCATCACTGTTTTGATTGACAGTACCCATCTTTCACAGTCACAGCTATGTGGCAGACTTCGGGATACACAGCGAAGGTGTTTCCTGCTCAGTTTTGATTGACAGTGTCTGTCTGTGAGGGTCGTGACTACATTTTGATTTCTTGTGAATGAAAATAGCAATTTATACTGCCAGGCAACAATGGAGCATAACATTGTCATTGAGAGCTTTGTCAGCCTGGCGATTATGGAATTCATTATGGGAAACATGATTCTTTGGAGTCCGAGCAAACCTGCAGGACACAAAGACTACAGGATAGATTGGGATTATTTTATCAGCACTCTCGGGATATTTTTGGCAGAAAAAGTGAGAAAGTTACAAAACACTATCTGGCTCTTCAATTTAAATGAGCCAAATTCAGGAAGTCACAAGAACTACTGTATACCAAGAACCATCTAGACTCTCCGCTAATGCACATAATGTGAAATTGCTTCATAAATTTATTTAATCAGTTATGGGTAATAGAGGAGCTTGCTCCTTGATTTCACTCCTCCCCCGAAACATCTACATCCTCCTTGTGTTTTATGCCAAGGATATGTGTAAAAACATCTGGCATCATGGAAGAGCATGCCACCCTATTTCTCAGAACCCTGATTAGCAGCGATTTGTATAGAGCAGTGCTTTTTACTTAGAGGATAGTTGGGTCACATATGGAGTTAATTTTGTGCCAAAAGTATTGATCAAAATTTTGAAAACCGCAAGCAAATCATTAAGTATCAGAATGAAAATATGTTTTCCAAATATCAAAAAAGTTGAATAGAAAATGAATTGCTTGATTACGTGTATTTAGCATTAAGCTTTAGTGTGTTGCCCCAATGGCATGTAATATGGATACAGCGTACTAATTAATAACTGTTAGAGAGAACGTTATTCTGAAAATGTAAGGGGTGTGCATTGTCCCCCAGGTTCCCCTGATCAAGGCAAACTTCAGCTGGAAGCTAGAAGCTTTAGCTAGAAACTTCCCTGGTCAGCGCGTTGGTGGAATAGCGAAAGTTACTGAACCGGATGGATTGGTGACATTTTATGAACGCGAAATATGTGTTGCATACACCGATTCCTAATAAAAGTACACTATTATAGAACTGCAAAGATGCAATTCCATGCTGTAAACTGGCTCCGGAGCTTCGATCCCGCCATGTTGCGATGTTCTGAAGCGTCATGGAGTGGCCATGCTCAGATGGTAAAAGGCGTGTTCACTCCAAATTCCAGCTGACCAATAGACGTGTAAGCTGCTAAGGCCCGCCCACCTGTTAAAACAGTGCCAAAAGTCAGAAGCAAAAAAGCATTCCAAAAGCAAAAAAAAATTCCAGAAGCAAAAAAAAAATTAAAAGCAAACAAAAACATTCCAGAAGCAAAACAATTTAGAGAAGGAAAAAAATGATTTTATTCAACTTTTTTGATATTTGGAAAACATATTTTCATTCTGATACTTAATGATTTGCTTGCAGTTTTCAAAATTTTGATTAATACTTTTGGCACAAAATTAATTCCATAGTCCACATTCCTTATAATATACTAAAGTTCAACAAGCAGCAGCATCATACAGTTTGAATCTAAGCGGCTTAAACATTCAATGTGAAGTGAGTGAGTGTCTGTTTAGATCCAGATAGTCTGATGTTAATGGCAAAGAACTGTCTTACTAATGCATTTTCAACTGGCAATAGCTCATGTTGTTCTCCTTGCTAAAGGCCATTGAAGCAATTGAAGACCAGCTCAGGAATACAGGTAACAGCAAAGGCTTGGGTCTCTGTTTTTTGCAAACCCAAGGGAAATTTGTACAGGAACATGTGACTATTGTGCAGAGGGGTTGGTTCCACACTGGGAGCATGTCTGCAAAGCGAGTGAATGTTTTGAGAGGACCTCCACTGGGTCCACCTCTCTGAAGGACCTCCACTGGGTCCACCTCTCTGAAGGACCTCCCCTGGGTCCACCTCTCTGAAGGACCTCCACTGGGTCCATCTCTCTGAAGGGGATTTTCTGTTGAAAAGGTTTTTATGATCCAATAGATACTGTAGAGCACTTCCTATTCCTCTTCCCTGTTGGGCAGTGGTGGCTGAATGGTTAGGGACGGGCACTTGTCATTGAAAGATTGCAGGTTTGAATCCCCAACCAGCAAGGCACCACTGAGGTACCCTAAGCAAGGTACCCCTCCCCAGGTACTGAATTAGCTGCCCCCTGCTATGTCATGATGTCACATATGGGTTAAATGCCGAGGACACATTTTATTGTTGTGCACTGTGTGCTGTGGTGTGTCAACAATGACCACTGATCACTTAATTAATTAAATTGAGAAGCCAAAAGTATTCATTAACAAGATAGAATGTCACCTGCTTTATCCAATTGCCCGATCTAGCAACATAACAGACCTCATAACAGAACATTTGGTACTTCAGGTAGTGTGGTGAGTTATAAGCTGGGGGTTTCAGATTTGACTCCCAGTAGAGGCCATGCTAAAACGTCACTTATGAAGTACTTATCCTGAGCTGCTCAAGTATAATATCCAGGTATTTATGTGGATAAACAACACAAGTCTCGTTACATTACGGCATCAGCAGAGGAACTACATTTTAGGACAGACATTTCATTTCATAGATTTCGGTGTGTATTAAGTGTCTTGGATGTCTAAGCCTTCATCTTTAAACCATCTGTCTTCTAGCTGCTTATCTATAGGTTGCATGAGGCCTGGAGCCTATCCCAGGCACACAGGGCAGAAGGATGGGGTACCCACTGGACAGGATGCCATCCATCACAGGGCCCACACACACACAGCAGGAAGTTTAGAGACAGTGCACCTAACCACATGCTTTTGGGCTGTGGGGGGAAACCAGAGTAACTGACAAAAACCTGCTCCTATAATCTTCATATATCTCTGATATATAAGTGATGAAGTTATAGTCCTTTCATGTCAGCTGAGGATAGTACTGAGGTATATTATGGATTCCATTACTCACATGGTTCAAGTTAATGTACCTATTGCTCCAATCTTGCCAAGCTCCATGCCAGTTTAAGACTCATCATTAGGCCAAGCAAATCGAACAGGAAATTCACACTCCGTTAAGTCAGCACTTAAAGCAATCAAGACAGACCCTCCTTGCACTTGCGATCCAAGTTTAGGGCCCCAGTTGTGACCGGGTTTGTCAGCCATTTTCTTAAATGCACTGTTTCAGCTGTATGACTAAGAGAGCAACCAGTGCCTGTTAGGCAACACTAGCAGCCACCTCGTGTGTCTGTGGCTCAGTGTGTTAGGCCTCTGTGGCTCAGTGTGTTAGGTGGTTACTGGTTCAAGCCTTGGCCTTGGCAGGATAAGTCATATTCCTGTTAGGCCTTAAACCCCTGAAAAATTCCAGGGGTGTCAGATAAATGGCTGACCTAGTACTCAGATCCCAAGCTTTGCCCTCCACAGTATATATGCATGAGTGTGTCTCAAAGGAGAGCATGATGGGATATGCAGAAAGAAACACTCCACTGTACTTGTGCAAATGACAAATTAGGCATCGTTTCATCCTTTGAGGAGGTGCTGACTTAGCAAGCCAATTCGCCTTTGTCTGAGACAGCTATCTATGTGCACCTACTGTGGGGGCGGTGATGTTTTCCTAGGGCTCCACCTGGGCTTTGACCGGCACTGAGCACGACAGTCGGTAGGGGATATCTCTTGGCTTTTTGTTCCTGTGAAATTCCATGCAGTTTTCTCATAAGAGCATGATGCAGAAGTGACATTATCATTTGACAGACTTCCCGTTTGTATATTTTGCTGAATTAGTCTTCGCCCGCCAGCTGTTCCGCTGTTTTTCGGTGTCCCTCTACCAGTCATTTGTCTCCCTTAGCTACTGTAATTAACCTCATGGCTTCAGCTTGGGGTGGGGGGGGGGTTCCTCACCTACTGTATATGGCTGAATTGTAAGGGCCGGAATCCTCTTCAGACAGGTAATTAGCTCTGCTGATCAGACGTGCATTATCAAATTCACTAACAGCATAATGCCAGAATAGAGCCAAAGCAGCCTTTGAACCCCCAGATATTTATTTTATTTTGGTTGGTTGAACCCCCTAACTGATTCTTCATTTATATACAGTAAAAAAAAACTTAAATATCTTAAGGCAGAGGTTTATATTGATATAAAGGATTGTTGTGACATAACATGTTTGTCAGCTAGGAAAGCTGTGCCCTCTGAAGTCCCCTTTGATTGGAGAATCCGGCTTAAATTGGCCAATGATTATTTGATGCAGATTAAAGCTTATCAGACTGCAGTAACATCTTCTATCAAGTTAGTAAGCCGACATCTCCAGCCATTGTGACTGACCTAGGATGATGAAACTGAGAAATCCTTTTAAACATCTGATTTCCTAAGTTGTTAGACATGTTTCAAATAACTTGCCGTGAAAACTTAAAGGGAGGCACTCAACTGATATTGGGTAAGGTCTTGCACATAGTCTTCTATTCTCCTTGTTGACGGCCTTCTCTGGCTGGTGCCACTCCTGACTGAGACTTGCCTCGTGTCCTACAGAGAACCATGAACACAGTGGAGGAGGAGCCAGACCACAGTATACCATGAAGAGAAGTCTACAGATCCTGCACTGCCCGCTGCTGAGTAAGTCATCCTTGCCCTCCAAGTGTTTTTACAGGCCTAATTCCATTTGTTGGGATCAAACAGCATCTGTGCTGAAATCAGACTAAGTGGACTATCGCCTGAAACACTGGCCATAATTTGACAGCGGTTTTAGCTCAGGCAGAAGTTTAAATTGTGCCCATTCATGTGCTTTTTCATTGAAGCTGTAAAGGTTACAACTGTCACCCAGTGGAACAATGGTCCTGATAATCCCATTCTACATCCCGCTCAGTCTCAGTATGACACGTCATGTAATCCTACAGATTATGGTCTGCTGATGAACCCGGTTTCAAACCAAACTCCATCAGGCTCAGAGACACTGCTGTAAAACATAAGAATTTGTTTTTGCAGGTCTAATGGGATCTTGGGTGTGGAGCATGGAGAAAACAAGGCACCTACAGATTTATTCACAGACTATGAAATTTCAAATTGAGAAGCTCCCAGAATACATTTCTCCTAAATCTGATTGGGTTAGAGACTGACTGTAAAGGTTAAATGTTACTGTGAGGCACAGTAAGATGTGAGATTTAATTCAAATCCTGCCAGTGGCCCAGCGGCCCAGTATCAGCTCCCTACACAATGGCTGCACATTCCAGAATGTTCTTAAGGGGACACTGCATGATTGCAGCCTTGGTGTCAGTACTTCACATTCAGCTCTTCAGAAATATCCTTTCGTGATTGTGTATAATGCAGAGTGGAAACACACATACATACACACACACTCAAATAAACACAGTTGGAGTCTCAGTGTGCCAGACTGAGTCATACAGTTGTGGAAGGACCATTTGAGCCCTGGCCTACATTGTTTACAGATTTCTGCAGGAGCCATAAGCAACGTTCAGAGCTTATCGGTTCTGCTTGTTTCCTCTGGCTTTTGTTTAAGGAACAATTTAATTTTCGCAGTGACTCGAAGGAATTTTTCAGTAGAACTCTGTAGGATTAATGCCCAAAGAATGGGGCTAAAACACCTCACATGGGGGTACAGCCTTCATAGTCTGAGAGTTCTGATAAAATGCCAGGCGATTTCTGAGAGATGGGTTTGACTCGGAGCCCATAATTCCAAACCCCCTCATTTGCTGTTCTGATAGTCCTTTTACGAGTGCTATCTGAATGGGGCACAGGCTGATGGTAAACATCCAAGCTAATTCGTTTTACTATCCATTGTGGTCTTTAGTGTTGATGCATGGGAAGCTAATTGTACAAAAGCAGGAAGTTGGACACCTTTTAACCCAATCAGGTAGAAGTTCCTCAGAATAATATTCTGCTCTGACTTCCTGCAAGTCTTCCTATTGTTTCATTTCCATTTCACCCTCTGCTCTTTGGATAAAAGAATCTGCTAAACAATTGAGTCATCCCATACATTCCTAAGTCATCAGTAGAACAATGTCTGCTTGCTGTGCTGTCATATAAAGCTCGCTGTAATGATTTCCACCTTTGTTTTATTCATGTGTGTGCACAGCTTTCAGTACAGATGGCTCTTTTCTCATCCTGATGTGCGGCTTCCATCACTGTAGGGTGCGTCTTGTCGGCCCGCATACTCTTCCAAATTTCTCCTCAATCTCTCGCCGTGGCCCTTCTTTCTGGGCCATCACATCTCCCTGGCAGCCTCTGCTGGTCACCCTGCTTAATAGGCAATTTCCCAGACCAGACAGTCTGGAGAGAATGGAAAGCGGTCTTCACTTCTGAGACCATGGACACACATTCTTCTAAAGTGTGTTACATAGCTTCATGTTAATATCTACATTATGCTCATTTATATAGCTGCATCAGACTGGTTCTTTAGGGAATATTGTTTTTTTTCCCCAGGGATATATACAAGGATGTGGCCACAGGGGCACAAGCCCCAGCTGAAAGCTGACTGGTTCACGGAGTCCTCCCTCCCATGTCACTCACCCATTTAAAACATATCATTGGCTAATGATAACAATGACCCCTCTGTATGAATTATGACTCCTCTTATGCCCCTAGTTTTTTCAAGTACCCCATCATCCCATCTTTGGAAGATGTGACAATGTGCTGTAATGCTTCCCCATTTTCCTGGATTGTGACCAGCTCCAGAACGGACGGCCCCACAGCGTACCTGCAGTGTTAATGAAATAGTGATGCCACACCCTCCATTCACTATTCTGCTGGGCGTAACTTGCCCACTTGGCAGCTGGTCACATTGACTGCATGGATGCTGCATCCTCACACCATAAAGGTCACTCGTCTTAAAGGGGAAGGTCTTTAATCATCTATACATATATACCGTGCATATATTGGTGCTTTTTTTTGACAGTGGCTGGGGGGGGGGGGGGGGTGCTGATATGCCCCAACTAAAAAGAATAAAAACAACCCAAACCATTCTGCAAAAAACAACCCAAACCATTGATCAAAGTTTTAAATTTAATCCACTAATATTTTGTCATAATTCCACAGAAACTGCCATACCCATATTTTGTTATACATTCATTCTTTAGGTCCCTGTGTGCAATGTGCCATCACCACAGATCATAACTGTTATGTTTAGCTGAGGTATGAAAGCTGTGCTTGTCTATCATCTCATCTCTCAGAAGTATTATAATCAGAAATTATTTTGGGGGAAATTTATTCCATGAATGCTTCAGGCGCCTAATTATGGCATCAAAGGAAGTAAATAAGGTAAAGGTGAAATAGTCAAAAATGAGCAAAGAAAAGATGAGTAAGGAAAATCAGCTAAGACAAAATATAAGTTTACTTGAATAAACAACGTGCTGCTGTTATGCTCCCTGTTACGCATGATGAATAAATGTTGATGTCAGATAAACAAACGTTGGTGTTGATGTCACTTTTCAAGTTGGTTTTAGAAGTCAAATCATCCAGCAGGTATTTGATGAAGGCAGAAAACACTTGGGTGTCTTTCTATAGAAACTCCAGTTGTTCCATTTAGTGAGGTACTCTGTGATGGTGACTCATGGTCAGATACTCCTGGTAAGTCTGAGTAACTGCCATAGATGCCCAACACTATTTTCTTAGTGTAGTGAGGGTGGTAATGGGGCGCTAAAAGTTGTTAATTGGAGGGGGGTGACAATAGTCAACTGGGGGCATCTTTTTGAGGTCCCTCTTTAGCAGAAACATTTGGGTTTCACCCTGGGCAAAGTCATGCATGGAAGCCCCCTTGAAGATCCATTCATCCTTCTATTCATTTCTCATAAGCGCAGTGTCGCAGTGAGTTTGTAGCCAATACCAGGATGCGTGGGGCCCACTGGATGAATGCCAGTCTAAAAATCACACAGCCTGTTGTATTTTGGCTGTTGTATTTCTCTCTGGGCTGGTGCTGATTTCAGCAACTTTGTGTCAGACTGCTTCGATCCCTTTTTACCATTTCTGGAGTTTCCACTGCGGTGTTAATCACACAATGGAGACGTTTTGCCGTAGCGTTGGCCAGCCCTGCTGTTTACACTGTGCCATGCAGCTGAAAGGCAGGCCACTTAAAAACACACGTCCTGCAGGGAAGCTGGCAGTGCAGGTTTTCTGGGCCTACTGTCCGGCCTGCATTCTGTCTGCAATGCCCCCCCCCCCCAACTACAACCGCTTTCCCACTTAATTAAATCACAGAAACTGGTCAAGGCATCCTCGTGGCTGCCAGGAAAACCGGCATAGCGGATGTTTTGGCATGAATTGGTGCTTTTTTCTCTAATCCTTCTCCAGAGAGGAATTTAAACAACCTTCATGCAATATCATGTAACTCCTGGGACAGATTCTCTGTAGAATGATGGACAGTTCTATACTTTTATGGGCCGGAGGGCTTTTTCATCTCTCTATTAATTAATTAACCTTGATTAGAAGTTGGCATGGAAGACTGCACACAGCTGTAATTCAGCTGAGCAGCTGAGAACTTCGTATCATTCTTTCGTGTTCTACCAACTGTTTCTTACATGAGGAATACCTGTAATGGTAAAAAAAAAATTTTTTCTTAGTGCCATGGTTTCGTTTCTGTTGTTTTAATTCTGCTGGGTCAGTATGGTGGCTCAGTGGGCCTCACCAAAGCTTGATTCTAGGCACTGGCTCTGTATGTTCTGCATGTGTAGCTTGAAAAGGGTGTCCCCTGCCTTGTGCCCTGTGATGAACTGGCATCCCATCCATGGTGTCCCCTGCCTTGTGTCCTGTGATGAACTGGCATCCCATCCATGGTGTCCCCTGCCTTGTGTCCTGTGATGGACTATCATTACATCCAGGTTGTCCCCTGCCTTAAATCCTGTGTAAGGTAGCTGCTTGCAATAAAATTACACTGATATTTTAAGAACTAACAGCAAGTTGACAGTACATTCAGCCAACTGGTTGTGAACTTAAGAGCTCAGCAGGAATAATGACCAGCTAATTTGCGGTCTTCAACGCCTTTGGTTGCCTGACCCTCCTTTGAATGTTTACTTTAAACACTCCTCACCCATTTTTGTGTGATAATTTTCCCACGCTCCAGTACCTCTTCAGTACACCACAGAATAAATCATAAAACAGAACAAGCAGACACTTCCTGTTAATACCTTCCAGTTTTGTCTACATCCCTACCGCCATTAGTCTCTTCCAAAGGCCACCAGGTCGACAAGCACCAAGCACACATGTTTGAAGTATCTGTAATGTCAGTGCAATCACATTTCCCCCAAAACAGGAAGTCATTACCCCTGTTGGTAACCAAAAGTTCCTTATCTCTTACTGCACATCAGTTCCACCCTCTGGACAGGAAGACTCCAATCTGTCCCATCTCCCCCAGAAGACACATTCGTAGCTAGCAGACGCCCAGCCACACCCGAGATGGGGCGGGGGAATTGCATGACTCACGGCCCAGCAATTCACAAGCTCTCGATGCTTTCAACACGCGTTGTGCGCGATTGGCTCCCCAGGAGACTGGAATGTTTGTGTTTGCCGAAGCCATTGTTACCATCAGCACATGTGCATCCCTGCACCCGGCTTAGTCCTTTTAAGGAAATGTCCAGCAGCTTCCAGCAATTTCCGGGAACGGGCCC